TTTCAATGGTGGATCACTAGTTTTTCATTTGAGCACTTTTACCTAGTTTGTGATTTGTATGTGAGATGACCAATTGTGGTTGTTCTGCGGGTATTTTAATTTATGTGTTTTTTTTTCCTTTTTCTTTCTTTCTTGCGTGAATTGCTAATCATTTTTCCACATTTGTTTCCCACTAAGTTACCATCATTTGGTGTTTGTTTCTATGATATTGAACGGAAGTGTTTTACTTACATGCCTAATTTAAGAACTTAGATTGCATCAAATCTGAAATACATAAGGTTGATTAGTGGCATGGTGCTAAGGCTTGAGAGCATGTATATAGTATTATTTTGAATCATTTGGACCTTGAGTATGATGTGATGGTCCAATCTACACCGGATTATGGTCATTTTGAAAAAAAAATAGTCATTTAAAAAAAAAAAATAGCCATTTTTTATCATTTCTTTGACCACTGTTTGACCTTCACCTCTAATTGAAATCCACATCAACTTTTGAGCTTGACATCTAAAGCCTGCAATCTTTTCTCTCCTACATGACTTGAATATCCACTCACCTATGTCCTCTCAATTAGCTTCATGCAACTATTTGGATTCCCCCTGCCATTAAGCATTTGAACAAGAAAACTTACATAAACCCTTGAACCCTAAAAGACTCTTCAAAATCTACAAAGCTTTATTTCTCTACTATTTCCAAGCATGCCCAACTAACCCCTTATCTATGGCGTTGGGGTTCCATAATCATCACCATATATACTCTGTCTTATGTCATCTATGGATCTATCTTTTGTTGAATGAAATTTGAGTGATTCTTTTTAAATGAGTGTGGTTTAGTTTGTTTTTACCTAAGAGAACTTCTTAAGTGTGTGAACCAACAACCCTTAAAGGACTTCCAAATAAGGAGGAAGGTCTATAATGACAAAGGATTGCTCATTGAGTTCAACTTCAGTAATCCTTACTCGCTCCCGCAAATATTAAACTTCATCACTATTAGTCTACTCTAGACTAGTCAGCATATCCTTAACATGCTTCTCGATGTCTCGTCTTTACACTCTCTCGTTTCACATCTCTGCCTTTTGGTCTTTAGCTATTCTCTCAATTTTAAGAGTTTTTATTTTAATTATTATTTCATTAAATAATTTTTTATATATTTGATTTTTTTTTAAATAGTTTAAAATTACTATTATTGAATAGATCAGTATATTTGCTAAAATTTATTATGATGTGATTTATGTTTGATTTAATGATTTATTAAATGACCATTTTATGTATTTATAGATAATGTACACAACCTAAGCATCTAATTCATAAAAGCAGCACTTTGCTTCATGCTTTGTACTTTAAATAAAAAAGAGCCCTCACACTTCACGTTGCACCAAAGGCTTTGTAAGAATTGATCCAAACATATTTTGATATAATCAAATAGTAGAGACCTCTATACTTCAACCTATAAATTGGGCATCAAATCTTAGAAAAAGTTAGATATTTTTTTTTAATAATTGTTTGGATAACATAAAAGTAGTATAAATTAGTAATTAGTATGATAGAATAAATTTTAGCCTCCGTGGCACTGATGCTTTCTCTTTGCTATATTACTTATTATGATACAAACACTTGTACATTAAATTTACAAAAACAACAACAACAACAACAAATATGGCCACAAAACCAAATTTATTACAATGCTTATCTAAGATCCTAGGGAATCAAGGTGAGGTTGTAGCACCTCATACTCTTACCGACAAGCATCATTCAAAGGCATTGCTTAAGTAGGTTATTTGATGTAATGCTCTAGGTAAATAGACACTCTCCTATTTAATGCTTTTTTTAGTAGTATTATTTAAAAACAAACACCTCCATAATACATTATGGGAAACCTAATTAAATTAATAAACTAGGCTAAATTGTTTAGCAACTCCAAAAATCTAATAGGAACATATTGAAACAGCAATGATTGCAATGTTCTAGTTTATATGAAGTGTAATCAAGCCCTTATGGCTCATCTTGAGATACAGCATGTAATTGATCAAATATCTCTTAGTGGCATTGAAGATAGTAGTGAATGGTTGATTAAAAAGATCATGTTAATATGTCCAAGGTGGATTATTTTTTTATGATGAAAATTCGAGATGGGATGATGTAGAAAGAGTGCCAGGCTTCTCAATGGAAAATAGGTTAGACCAAATGCAAGTGCAAGAGTTTCTAATTCTACTACAACAAATTTTAATGATGACGATGAAGAGTCTACAGAGATAGTAAAAGAGACAAAGCTTTAAATCTAGTTGAAAGGAAAGAGTATGGCCAGTGGAATGAAATACATTAAATATATAATATTGAAGATTAAATTATCTTTTGGCTATAGAAGCTACAAACCTAAGTTTTTATCTACATGTTTAAAGTTTAAGCATAGCTTATGGATCTTATGGGCACTTTGTTTAAATAATCTATCTATCAACCTTTTATTATGTTAGTTTTTGGAATGAAACTAAATTTGAAAATTTATTATTTTTTTATACTAAAATTTAAAATTTTAATATGATATTTATCATATAATATTTTCCAAAAGTATTTCCCATAATTAAAATTGGTAATTTTTTTAGCACTCACTCCAGGCTAACAACTCAGTATTAGGAAAAAACATGACCTTGATGATGTCTAACAGCTTTAATAGCTCTTTTAAAAACTAATTAGTAATTAATTACAACCATTTGATCAAGGACCTCATGAATTGCATCCAAATAAACATCACACAATAAGGTTTGAATTGGACAAAGATCATTATAGCACCTATACTTCTCATTCCATTACATCTTCTTAACACCAGCCTTAGAACTCTCAACGCAAATCCTTCCATCCAATTCAGACATCATCTGCACCAAACTTGAAGCCATTAAAATTAGATTTGATCATTCGATTCAAATGTCCATTCGAATTATCTTAAGGTGTAAGGCCTTCATGAATCCATTCATCATTACTACTGGAAGGATGACTAAACAGTAAACACGAATCTCCTTGAAGACAAAACTTAGTTCTAAATTATTCCACTCGAGGATAAAACCCATATACCAAGGGAAGATTCTGATTTGGCTGGGTTTTCAAAGACGACTAGGCTCATTTCTAAATTAAACAATACATTGAATTACAAAAACGTTCTTCATTCAAATGCCTATAAATCACCCCTAGGAGAAAGATAAAATAATTCTCTCTTTCTATTTCAAAAGAAAAGTTTGTTGAATTAGTTTTAACTCACATTTAAATTAAAGCTTCATTACTAATTTAAGTATCAAATGTCCAAACTGAGATAGAAAACCGTCAAGTAGAGCAAAAACATTTAGTTTCTTGGTTGAATTTATGCATGAAAGAGCTTGATCTAATGGAGGACTACTTTGAGAATCTTAATCAACCCAAAACGCTTACAGAGCATGCAACGAGAAGAGAATTAAGAAAAAAATCAACGAGAACATTATCCAAAAAGGAAAAAAGAAAAATAAGAAGAAGAAGACGAGCACCAGCATGCATGATCAAATTACAATTCTCATGTATGAGAAATATAAAAAAGGAAAGACAGAACATTCCAACAAAAACATGCAAACAATCTTGCCAAGATTTTTCCTAAAAAATGAAAGTAAGCAAACTAGCAGGAAAATGACAAGAAATAAAGCTTAGCATAGCATAATAGGTGGTTAGAGCCACTGCATGGGTGATAAACTCCCTGTAGTTGGTCAGAATTTAAACGCACTAACTTCCACAAATTTTATTAATATTTACACTATAGTGCTCATCAATCTCAAAAAAAGGCATACAAAAAATAAATAAATGAGACAATCCAAAAACAACAGCGGCTACGACAACCTCAGATTATCACTAGAGGACAATACGCAATAAAGGCAAAAACCACCCAGGCAACAGGATGAAGAGGAGAAGTGAAGAAGTACAGAAATTTACTCCAAAATCAAAAAAGAAGTACAGAAATAACCAAGAATTAGCTGCAAACCACCAAAAACAAGGGCAAAACCTTCTTCTCCGCCAACCAACCTCAAAATCCTGCACTCCTGTTCGTCTTTTACCCAAGCAAGATGGTTTACATGGAGAACCACAATTTTTACAACATATAAACTCTACCTTTTAACTTTGAAATCTCGAGTAAATGAAGCTGGAGATAGAAAGCAGGCCAAGAAGTAAGAAATGCCCAAACCCTAGCGGCAGCTCGTCCATCGATTGGTGGTTACTTAAAGAGAATTATAATACCATGACGCTTGGATTGGGGCATAGGAAGAGACACCGAGTTAGAGAGACTGGAAAGATAGGAAAGTAAACAAGTACTCCTACTCTGGAACGAGTAGACACCCATTGCTTTCCTTTTGCAAAAGAAGCACAAAATGTAGTAAAAGCCATTATCCCTACTACTCTCTTTCATAGGACGGCTGCAAAATAAACAATGGCGGAAATCCTCCGAGAATCCCGACAACGACAAGCCTCGATTCGATTTGTTTATTCGGTGTAAATCCACACCAGCTTTTCATTCACTCGTCTTCCCCAGCAAAACAAACAAGACAAATTCATAACGAAGAGTAAAGCGCATATACGATACATTAAAATAACGCCGCTATTCCATTCCCCAAAAAGAGTCATTACCGAGAATGCGGCAGCATTCCCGTCTCCTCCAGCGCAAACGAAGCTTTTCACAAAGCAATATTAAAAACCCTTCAAACTAAAAATTGGATCAACGAATCGCTACAAGACATTGAAGAATCATCAATCAATAAAAGCTGAACTTCAGGATTAACCTCTACTCGATCATCCACAGAGAAATTCGAGCGAGACAAAAATCGTGCACGGTAGAAAGATGGTCCATTCTCTAACTAAAAGACATCTAGAAAAGCGAGGGAAACAACAAATTCAAAACGAACAGTGACCGGATACGATCACGAAGTGGAGATCGCGCAAAAGAAACAAGCAAATTAACAAAAAAAAAAATCAAATAGAAGAAGAGAGAAAGAATACCTTGCGGAGCCTCTTGGCTTGACCTTAGATTCTAAGAACGGATGAAAGGGAAGTAGCAATGCGACCATAGAGGCATCTCTCCAGTCTAACACCCACTTCTAATCCATGGCTCTTCGTACACTCACGGAGGTGGCATGCTCTGAGAAAAGAGACACAGTACCGAAAAATCCAAAAATGGCTGTTACGATTAAGACCCCTTTCTCCTCCTCTTTCCACCATTGCCATCTGCTCTGCTGCCACTGCAGTCGCCTTCTCCAGAGTTTCTTTCCAGTTTCAGCAAAATGGCTATAATGGCACTGTAGCAGGATTTAAATGAATTTGCTGGAAAAAAATCCAAAATTTAAAAGCTTTATAATGTTGAGGTTGTTGGTCATTATTGTTTTGGGAACTTGGAATTGCTGGGAACCTGTGAACTGAAATGGACATATTTACATTTTAAAATATGGAAATTATATATATTACATTTATAAGATATTTATCTACATAATTAATAAGTATATTATTTTAAAATGATTGGATTCTTATATTTATGAAATAAAATTAAATATATTTATTAAGTTTTAATAATTTTAAATTATGGGATATTTTAGGTAGAAAAACATTTGATTATTGCTCTCCACAATAAATCTGATTATGATGATAGGTAGGAAAACATTTGATTTAAAATAGTTTGAAAGAAAAATAAAAATAAATAATAATAGTTTGAAAATAATGCATTATGGTTTAATCCAATTATAAAGATTTTTATAATAGTTTATTAAGTTTAAAATTAAATTTATTGTGGGCTAAAAAATTTATAGCAATGGATAGATGATTTTTTATCTAAGTTTCATAAAAAATTTTTGCACACTCAAAGATTAAAAAAATAGTAATACAATATATAATAGAATTTTTATATGAAAAATACATAAAGAGATATCTATGAAACACTAGTCGACTTGAAATGATCCACTATGTAAGTGAGATCATAGGAGTTCAATTACAAGAAAATCATGTATTACTGATATAATTTTCGGCGGAAAATTATTTCTTTTTTGCCAGATTTTTGACGAAAATGTTTTTCTTATGTTATGTAAAACGAGCGTCGGAAAGAAATTTCGAAAAAAAATTCGCCAAAAAATTTTTTTCGACGGTTGTCCGGTGGAAAATTTCCATTGGAATAATTAAAAAAAAAAATAATAGCAAGCTGGATGGCATGCTGGCAGCATCTCTTCTCGCCGACCCGCCTGTGGCCCAGTCCCAAATGCCCCCCACCCCGAGCCCTGCACCAATCTGAACGCGCCCGCGCCCACCCGCTTTGCTAGTCAGATTGCTCCCGCGGGCATGATTTTTTAAGTTTGCAGTAGAGATTGTTGGAGAAGTAGTAGAAGTTGAATTTTGTTGTAGAAGTTGGAGGAACCTTGAGGCATTAGAGTTGTTTCAGCAAATCATTTGTACATACTCGATCATTTTTATTTGACGAGCGGAGACCAAGGACCAAGAAGTTTAATATAATGTAGTTGTTGACATCAAATGTTGGAGTTGGCATTAATAGGTTGCATTAGCTTTATTAGTAATGGTGTACTTTGATGTTGTGAGTGAAGGCAAACATTGGTGTTGATATTGATGAAAAACATCAAGCCTTATATGTGTAGGCATGAGTCAACAGAATGCATCAACCTTATAAATAATTTCATGTGTTAATAGTGTGCAGCAGCCTTATAACTAATTATGTGCATTGATATTATTGCTAACCATTATAACTAATTATGTGCATTGATATTATTGCTGACCATAAGTGATGATGTTGGAGGATGTAAGCATTGGTGTTGATAACATTCATTGGCCTTACAGGCATAGTACTACCCCATTGTTGTTGAAGATAAAATTAGCAGGAGATATTAACCAAATGATTATAGTCAAGCGATGATGTCTTTTGAGCGATGACAGTTAGGCGAAGACGATCAGTTGATAGAGGTTAAGTGATGATGGCTTGGAGATTAATGTAATTATCGACTTCAAATTACTCGCCCACTTGAAACTCAACTACTCTATGCTTCAAATCATAATATTTTCTCTATCTATCCTATTCTACTCTCAATTTATCATTTATCAATTTAATCTTTTCAGTGACATCATCTACTAATTTGAGATCAATCAATCTCCTTTCAACCCATTTTTATCTAAAATAAAGGTATCCTACACCTCTTATTATAAAATACCTCATATAGTACCTTATCAATACTCGATTGAAAGATGTTGCGATACACAAATTCAATCAAAAGGCATATAGTCCTCCTAGTCGATCATATGAAATTAAATTCATACAATCTTAATAAATCTTCAAGCACTTGAACAATCCTCTCAGACCGATCATCTATCCATGGGTAAAAAGTTGTACTAAAATTCAAATTATTCGTCATCTCCTCTTGGATACATTTCCATAATCTGAAAATTAATATGCCATAAAATAATTAATAACTTTTAGAATCCCATGCAGTTTGATAGTCTTGCGCACATATACATGTAAAAACATCGCAAGTGGATTTATTTGCCCCTTAAAGAAGAAAATATGCATACTTCATGAGCCAATCAACCACAACACATACTCCATCATGCCCTGATCTCCTCCCATTTCTATGTAGGAATATGCAAATGTTGTGATAAATCACTAGGCCTCTAATTTTCTTTTTTTAGTTACAAAATAGCTCTACAAAATCCCTTTATTTTCCTTCTTCCAAATTCTATGAACCCCCTTAGAAGGCTTAATTAATAGATATCAAAGTTTTATTCCACAAGTCTATGGTATTTTTAAAAAAATAGCTTAACAAATTGCTTCAATCAAAATAATATTTAAAATATTCTAAATATTTTTGTGCAAATTTTAGATAACATGAGCTATTTCTGTGATTTTTTAAATCCAAAATAGTACTTCTTGATGTGACGGAAAATTTTATAAATTTGTAAATCTTAGAATCGATCTCCTTTGTCGGTTATAATTATGGGTGCGAATGAGTCGAGTCGAGCTCGAGACACCTTTAGCTTGAGTTTCAGTTGGATCAATTAGTTGTGTTCGAGCTCAAGTTTGAAATTAATTCTATGAATTTGAGTTCGCTCATGAACTGAATAATTTATTACGAAAGAAAATAAAATTTATTCAAAAAATTATTAAAATAAAATGTAAATAAGATGAGAAATTAAAAGAAAAATAACAAGAATCACTTCATATAAAAGGTGATATATCCTTTTTATATATATTTAACCTTTTTTTATCTAAATTATTGAATATTAATATATTTTAAACAAGTCAACTTGAGAGCTAATGAGTCGAATCATATTAGCTCATTGATCTTGGCTCTTGAGCCATTTATTAAGTTGAGTCTGGGTTTGCTTATACCCCTAATTCCAACTATCTTCATGCAACATCAACTAGCTAGGGGTATCAAAATGGGTCTACATGTCTGGTTCGAGTCTCATCCAAATTCAATAAATTTGAACCTGACCCAGTAACAACCTCAATGACCTGAACCGAACCAGATAGGTCATTTTGATTTTTTTAAAAAATAACTTTTTTCACAATAAATTTTATATTAACTAATAAAAATAAGGCAATCATGCCAGAAAATAAAAAAAAAATTAAGAAAAAAAATTTTAATGTGTTATTTAGTGTTGAAATTAGGATGGTGGGTCAACTCGAACCTGATCCATTTAAATTTTATACCTAATCCCAACTCATTTATTAAATGGGTAAATATGAATAAAAAAATTTTTAGATCAGAATCGAACCAATTTGATGGATATGATCATTTTTTAATACCCCTAGGGTCCTAACTAGGAGTGTCAATATTTGACACGACGCGAAAACCCGACCCGAAAAATCCAGGTTGGACCCGACCTGATTTCAAAATGGGTCGGGTTCGGGTTCCCGTATTCGACCCATTTGAAAAAATGGGTCGGGTTCGGGTTCCCGTATTCGACCCATTTGAAAAAAATGGTTTGGTTCGGGTTGTCGGGTCAACCAGAATAACCGTTTAATTTACAAAATTTGGATTCCAGCCCGCTGACCCCGCCCGCGCTGCCCGGCGCTCGCTGCCCCGAATTTGATTTTATATATCTTATAATTTACTTTATTCTCATTTGAATTCATTCTGTGGGGCCCAATTAAAACAGTGTCATCATCAGATTCTGTAATGCTTCGAAGAAGCTGCTCCCGTGGAACTCCTTATTTATTTTTAATAAAATTTAAAAAAAAATGATATAATAATATTAAATTATGAGATACATCAATAAATAACTTGGTCAATCAATCCGATCTGAATTCAAAAAATAAAAATTTAGGTTTACTTATTTGATAAATGGGTTGAATTCGGGTTATAAACTTTATATCATTTATTAAATATCTCTGGTTCGGGTGGACTCTTCAACCTGATTTTGACACGAAAGTAACCCGTTTAATATTGATATATCATCCAAAAATAATCTAGATCAAGCATGAATCTCGAGGCAAAAAAAAAAAAAAGAAGTTGGAAGCTTCTAAAATTAAAATTGGGATCATCTTAACTCCGATTTCAACAAACATATAATCAAACTGAACATCTCGGAAATATGAACCCAATGACACCAAAATCGATTCAATCCAAGTTCAAATGGGTCCAAATCAAAGGCCCGAAGTGATGTTGGAAGTTTTGAACTACAATATGGATTACTAAACGGTTTCCAAACGTGACATGCTTATAATCGAATCTAGCGGCTCGACGATACGAATCCAACGAGTCCAAGATCACAGAATTCCGACGTCACTAAGACATTCAAATATCCATCAAATGATCCACAATCAAGGGATTCAACATCGGTCGTCCATCCAAGCCACTCATATGTCCTTGATATCTCACTTATTTACGGGTCATGCCACTCTAGATAATCTATAAATAGACCCCCTCATCCCTCTTGAAAGGGAGGCTCCAAACAAGAGAGCTAGAGAGAGACCGGAGATCGCTCTTGCCTCCTCGCTCCTCCTTGACCACCGCCTGACATTGAAATTTCAGCCGGACCACCACTTGAGGGCTTGAGCTCCACCGGGCCACCACATGATGCCTTAGTTCCGTCGG